TGAACTGCATCCGGCCATGCTTGTCAAACACTTCGCGGAAGCAACAGGAAGATGACGACTGGAGATTCTTGGCCTTTGCTCTGCATTGCGCATGGTGGATCTGACGTGCCAAAGGCCTGAACAATACTTGCAAGCTTCCAAGTTTCCCCTCATGGCTGGGGGTGGGCTGCCCGGCTCTGCCTCGGGAGGACTCGCACCCAGTCAGTGTCGACTTGCAAAAAGAAGCACGTTTGCCGGATTGAATTGGACAGACACCGCTCGCCTTCACATAGCGCTGGCCTTTCAGAATGGGCAGCACTTCAAAGTCAAGGCTTTCCTGCGCGTCTGCAGCCCACACTCGCAAATCTGCGCGGGCATGTACCTGCGCACGAGAGCGGCAAAGACACCGCCCCAGAGGCGCACCAACACAGCTGTCCCAGAGGAGGCCAGCTTTGCAGCGCAAGCTAAAGCTTCAGTCACGCCTTCCACTGCCTCTGCCATGCGGTCCTGTATTGCATTGACATAGCCGTAGAGCCTGTGTGCGCGTCCAATGTCGGGCTGCGCTATGGTGTCAACAGACTCCAATATTGCAGCAGGGGCCGCCAGATATGGCGCGTCCTGTGGGCACTCTCGGATTTGCACACACATGGACATTCAAATCACGGCACATGGTTGACATATATTAAAATTCTGCAGGGAGTAGCGTTACGACAAAAAGCTGCCTGCAATGTCTATTAAATCCTTAAAAAGTTATTTTAGGAAAATAGGAAAATAAATAGGAACATTGGAACCAAAATTTGAAAAATAGAGCTGGAATTTGAAATAGGAAAGGAATAGAGGAAAAAATGAAAAGAACGACACTGCTCTAGGAACAGAAGGTGAAAAGGATACGAAGAGCAAAGGACTTGAAAAGAGGCTTCAAGAAAACAGAAAAAATGAAGGCCGGGAATCCAGGACAGAATCGAATATAGAATGAGCAAGGGTGCCAGAAATGGAAGGCAACGACAAAAGAACAAAAGGAACATTGTCACAGGTTTTACACCCAAAAAAATTTGACTTTAATGCTCTACCGGTACTACTGATCCCCAGTACTCCAGTACTGAATCCCCGAGTACGGATCCCCAGTACTCCACTCACTACTGATCCCACCACTCCAGCACACTGGTCCCGACTAGTCCAGACTCCAATCCCCAACTACTGGTCCCCAAGTACTCCAGTAATGATCCCCCAGTACTCCAGTACTGATCCCCAGAAGCCCTATTTTTTCATAGTTTTCCACCTCTTCTTCTATTTTTAAACATGGACATATTGTTGTCCTAGTTGTTACTATGTTCAATTCCTATTTTCCTATGAACGTACTGCTTTTCCTATTTTAAACAATGAAAAATACAAAAAGCTGAAAATCTAAAAACGTAAAACAGTTCAAAAAATTAAAAAATAGTAAAAACCGTGTCTATTTTTCAAAAAAGGAAAAATAGGACTACTGGGGATCAGTACTGGACTACTGGGGATCAATACTGGAGCACTGGGGATGAGTGCTGGAGTGCTGGGGGTCAGTACTGTAGTACTGGGATCAGTGCGGAGTAGTGGGGGTCCAAGTCCTTGTCCTGCTGCAAGTCCTTGTTTGCGTCCTCTGCACCCTTGTCCTTTGCGCCCTTGTCCTCTGCACCCGTGTCCTTCTCATTGTCATTCTGATCTGGCTTGGATGGCTGCGATGGCTGTGGCTGAGCATCCTGTTGCTGTGGGTCCAGGTTCCAGGAGAGGATGTGGTCATTGACGGTGGAGTCATATGATGCTGGTTCATGGTGCCGTGGTGATCCATTCATCCTGAGAAGACAGACTGGCGGCCGGAACGCACTTAGTCTGCTCAGTCCAAAGTCTAAACACAGAGGGAATAGCACGTATAATATGATTTTGGTGATCTTTGATAGATTTGTATGATTTAGTTTAGAATTAGAATTGTAAATATTGAATTCCCAATGGAATTGCCAAATCCAGGAATCAATTCAATATTTTTAATGTGTTACGCAGTTTTCAATAGGCTGAGTATTTAAAGCGTTTAAGCCATTAAATTCCCGGAGGGATCAGTACCTTGGGGATCAGTACTGGAGTACTGGGGATCAGTACTGGAGTATCCTTTAAATTGGTTAATTCCTCTCATTTTCCTTTTAAATTCGATCAAGTTCTTCTATTTCCTGTTAAAAATGATCAATTCCGTTCATGTGTCTTTTTAAAGATGATTATATAATTCTTTCATTTCCTTTAAGAAATGCTCAACTCCTTTCATTTTCTTTTTTGAAATCATCGATTCCTAGTAGTCTCCAGCATTGCTAGTAGTTTCATTCACACGTGTCTGATCATGCCTTTGGTCGGAATGAGCCACCAGCCTTCCAGGAAATCTGGACATTCAATCCCATTGTTCCTATTTCATGTTTGTTCTTGTTTTCAGTCCTATTTTATTCCTATTATGCGGTCCTAGTTGCTTCCTATTTTTCTTAAAAAATAGTTTGAAAACAATAGCTTGGCGACGTTTAACCGTTGCTTGGTTGCTCTCTGGTCTGTTTTTTCATTTTAGCTACCCGAGCAAAAAAAGAGTTAAGTGACTTGTCGTCGTTCCGTTTGCTACATGTGTCGTTGAGACCATGACGATGTCATTGTCACTGTTACAGTGCAGTAATTGCAGTTACATCACGACAATGACATCGTCGCAAGACAAACGCAACCCAACCCAGCCCAACTCTCCAACTCCCAATTTGCACGTTTTTCTCATACTGACTGCGCCGTCATGTTGGCCCTTTTAGGCTGACTGAGCTACCACTGCCTCAGTCTTTCAGGGCAAGGCCTCCATTCCTCATTTCTGGGCGCGCTCCTGCTGGAGCGTTTGCCCGATGAGGATCAGAAGGCTTATCACAAAGGAGCCGCCAAAAGCCTCCGAAGCCACTCCCTGGATCTGGGCCAGGGCCGCCCTTTCCCAAAGGCTTGTGTGCTGCGCTTCTTTGCTTTTCGCCGCTTTTGCTGTTCCTCCTGGTCCTCATCCTCTGATGAAGACTTCTCTTCCTTCACAGAGCGTTTGGTTGACCGCCGCTCAGAACGCCGCCGAGCAGGTGGGCTCTATTAGAGATTGCAAAAGCTTTTTTGTCATAATAGTAGTGAAGGAACTCTTATGAGATCTTGTAGGAGCAGGATGTCGGCACGATCTCTCTTTCTCCGATGGGAACGTCACGAGTCCGCTTCCTCGCTTCCTGGCTTCCTGGCTTCCTGGCTTCCTTCCTTCCTTCCTTCCTTCCTTCCTTCCTTCCTGCTCCTCCTCCTCCGCCTCCTCGCCACAACGACTGCAAGTGCCAGATCGGAGTGGGCACTACCGGCAAGTACCAGGTTGCAGTGGGCACTACCGGACCTCAACACACAACACATGACCGCAACACACACAAGACACAACACACAACCAACAAAGCACAACCACAATACACAAACACAAAGCACCACAAACAAACAAACAAACAAACAAACAAACATCAAACAAACAAACAAACCACGAACACAATCACAAACAACCACAAACACAACCACAACCACAAACACACAAACACAAACACAACCTTCGACGCACAACCACAAACACAGAACCACAAACACACAGCCACAAAGACACAATCACAAAGACACAGCTACAACAATTTAATCACTTGTGTGTGTGTGCGCTGAGCACTTTTGGATGCCAACTGGAGACCCTGGCGACACCCCGACGCGAACTCCCTAACACAAAGTAACAGTAACGATCCCACACCCGAGGACCCACAAGCAAAATCGAAAACCACAAAACTCACGACCATGGCAACATGCTCCTCAACGTGGCATGAACACAAATGATTGAACTGCATCCGGAACACTCGAAGTGGCTGCTCTGAAAATCGGGCTGCTCCTGCTAAGTAGCTGTTGCAAAATGTTCATCCATTTCCCCTGAATATCAAGAGTGTTCCCTGCTATATCCCATACACTCCATGGGACTGGAAGATATGCCGATCAATTGACCCCCCCATGGCCCACCCCTGGCCGTTTCTCGGCAGTCCTGTGGCAATCCCCTTGGTCGCGTTTTCACTCTGTCTGGGAAAACCCAAGTTGTCTGGTGAACTCCGTTCGTTTCGTCCTTGTTTCTAGTAGTATACGGCCAGGGTCGCCCCATTCGTCGCGCCCGTTCGTCCCTCCGTTCCGCTCGCGACCCGATATCCGCTCGTTCGACGCGTCCGTCGCGGACCTGACCCGACGCCTCGATGAAACCGGGCTCCCCACGTCCACCAAGCCGCTTCCAGCTCAAAGGGCCCTGGTCGCACCGGTCCGGACCGCTCCACCACGCCAATGGACCGATGACGGGGCCGTTGGCGCGGTGGTATGTGGCCAAACCCCATTGGGGTCGAGTCTATCCCATGACCAGGGCCCCAGGGATGAAAAGATGATTGTATGATATTGTATGGCTAGGAAAGGTCTTTCTCTCAGAATGTTACAGGTTATAGGACAAACCCAACCTATAGATTTAGTGTATTTCTTCCATGGAAATGAATTATGATGGAAGCCCCCACACCCCCAATGAAGAGCAATGAAGTAGTTGTTTCATGAGTTCCTGAAATCAGAGTTGCATCCTGTGAGCAGGGATCACGGTTTTAATCTTGAAGCTTCTAGAGACAGAGAGAGAGAGAGCCACCATGAACTCCACATTGAAGTGGTTGTATGCCTGCCCGATTGAAACTCCATGGAAACAAGAAGGAATCTTCTTGAACTCTTCTCTTCACCGGCTGATGTAGAAAACGGATGATTTCAGTTCCCTTGAAACACACAATGAAACTGCAACCAGCAGTTTCCAACCAGCAGTTTCACGTTGGGATGCCCAACTTGGAGTACCATGGAGTACCCAGATTAATCCACTCACTGGTCACTGGATGGGGAAAAAGAACACATCTGTTCGAACTGTTGCAATGAATTCTTGAACTCCACCATTCTTCGTCTGAACTCTGTGGCTCAGCAGGAATTCTGCACGTTTCCTGTGGAGAACACCTGTACTGCGGAGGGCACCTGTACCGGGTGCCCTCCATCCACGTTGTTTCAGGTGGTCCACCTCCCAGCTTTCGTGGATGGAGCGTTCGTCCGACTGCTTCCAGCATCTTCCGCCCAGCCGCCCTGAAAATTGACGACGTCCCTAGTCCTTTACTGGAACCACTGGTTAACATAGGGGTTTGCCTGGATTCACTGCATAGTATAAACATCAATAAACCAAATGGGATGATGCCTGTGGAAGCCCAAAGACTCAAACGGTGAGTCTAAGTTTTCCAGTGCTTTGCCTGGATCGTTTGTAGGTTTTCCAAAAAGGAACCCACCGAACACACATTTGAAAAGGCTGTGTTTCTCCAAAAGTTCAGGAACTCCGTCCATTTCCCGAACACTCCATGAGGGTCTCGGTATATTTGCATATTGACAATTGGGTATATCATACGGTATATCCCATTAGCAGTGGATGATGGTTAGTATATATAGGGTAATAGGCTACACCCTATCGACACCTATTGACCCCTTTTACAACCACTCCAATATTGATGGACAAATCACATCAAATACCAGGAGTGTCTAGCCTCTGGACCTCCGTCTCCGTTCTTCCCCGTTCC